TTGTTTTAATTTTTAAATATAAATAAAATAAAATTAAGAATTAAAGTAGTTTTTAAATTATTTAAAATTAAAAAAAATCCACATAATCATCTTTTACCTGATGGATTTTCACCTAATATTGAAAATTTAAAATAGTAATCACTTAGTGAAAAAATTAACTACATTAGCACTTAACTGACGTAAAGACAAAATTGATGTTGAAAATTGAAGTTGAAGGATATTTTCGATACTTTCTAAAGTTTAAAGATAAATCGGTTCAAAAATAAAAGTTGAGGGACCAAATTAGTAATTTAACCTAAAAATATATGTTAGCCATCCCAACATCACCGCCCAATTAATTCTTAAATAAAAAAAGTTAAAAATTGAAAGTTAATATCCTTAAATAGAAAATGTTAAAAATTAACATATTTATTTAGAAACTGACAAAATTAACATCTTTAAATAGAAAAAAATATAAAGTTAACATCTTTATTTACACTTTTATTCTTTATTTAAGCAAACTCAGATAAAAACTACCATAAAATTATGAGAAAAATGACTGAAATTGAAAAGATATAATGAAAAATGGGTTTTAAGGTGAAGAAATGAGGAAAAATAGCATATTAGTGGAAGTTTGAGGGTGAATCTTGCATCAATTGCAGAATAGTGGAGGTTTTCACAATTTTTTGACATGGATGATAAGGGCAGAAAGGATAAAAATCCTCTCGTATGCAGACGCGTATTGGACCCTCATCCCACGTGTTTACCTTCAAAACTAAAAGGTTTTTTTTATGAAAAACAATAAAAATAAAAAAAGCACTAACATGAGAAAAAGTATAAAATAAAGAACCCAAAATATAAAATATAAAATATTTTACACAAATTGAATTGCACATAATAAGCACTCAAAATATAAAATTTAACAGTGAAACTCAGAAAAGCAGTTAAAATGTCAACATAAAAACCTTAATTTAGAGTTACAATAAACATTTCAAACTTTTGTATTACAAAACAACTACCCCCAATGCATTTAGGTCTTTGGACTCAATGGTAATAAAACCACATTAAAGTACATTTCTCTTTTTTTGGACAACGGTTCAAATCCGATCTTGATTAAACATGTTTAAAAAAGAAAAAAACAACTAACCCTCCAAAGAAAAAAAACAAAAAACCGACAAATCAAATATCATTTGATCGGTTCTGTGCACGACCAGCCACAGCCGCTCCCTAGTAATCGTCATCTGCAGTTTCTTGGGTTTGGTCGGCACTGTCCTCTTCGGCATTCACAGCTCTAGACTCCCTTTGTGCTCCGAGACTGGCTTTCTGCTCTTCAAGGTAGGCGACAAAGTAGGCGCCAATGGCAGCACAAGCCTCCTTCATCTTCTGGTAAAGTCAGAGGAAAAGAGTTGCTACTCAGAAAAAGTTAAAAGGAAGAAAATAAGGATAAAGCAGAA